AAGTAATTCCAATCCACAAAGAAGACAGAACAGATGTATTTAACCATTATAGACCTATCTCTCTCTTATCAGTCTTTTCAAAAATCTTTGAGAAATGTATATATATTCGAACTTTTGATTCCTTGAAAAACAAAATGTATTTTATGCCCACCAATACGGATTTAAGAAAAATCACTCAACTTTCATGGCACTTTTAAAATTTGTTGAAACCGTACGACTTGCTATTGATAAAAAGAAACTTTGTTTAGGAATTATGTGTGACCTTTCAAAAGCGTTTGATACTTTAAACCATACTATTCTTTTGAAAAAACTAGATCACTATGGCATAAGAGGTACTGCTCTCAAATGGTTCCAAAGTTATCTCTCAGATCGATCTCAAATTGTAGAAATTGATGATACAACCTCAGATATAGCCAATTTTACCTGTGGAGTGCCTCAAGGCACAATACTGGGCCCATTACTTTTTATTATTTACATTAACGATATCTACAAATGTTCAGAGAAAGCAGAAATGTTCCTTTACGCAGATGACACAAATATTCTCTTTTCTGGTGATAATCTTGATGAAATCAATTCTACTGCAAATAAAGAGCTATCTATTATAAATGAATGGTTTAAATGCAACAAACTCGCTCTCAATCCAAACAAAACCAACTTCATTATTTTCAAAACTGCTCAAAAAGAAATAGATTACAGCAAAGTCAATCTCACAATGAATAACGTCCCACTTGAAAGAAAATCAGTTTGTAATTTCCTCGGAACACTTATTGATGAACATTTATCATGGAAAGCCCACATTAACTATGTTGAAACGAAGATCTCAAAGACTTTGGGAGTTATTCACAGAGTCAAACACCTTTTAGACAAAAAGAGTTTAAAACATATTTATTATTCCTTAATTTATTCATATTTAAACTATAACCTTATTGTATGGGGGAACGTTCCCCCATCTTCCTTAAATAAAATTCACCGTTTGCAAAAACAATTTATAAGAATATATGATACAGATTGTAAATTAAGAGATCACACAGCACCATTCTTCAAAAATGCTAACATTCTTAATATATTTCAAATTTTTAAAGTCAGTATCCTGACATATCTTTTCAAATGTATCAAAGGCACTGACCCAACATCCAAAAACCAATTCAGTTATTACTTCACTCCAAACAATATTATTCATAGACATGAGACTAGACAACAATTCAAACTCAGATCAGCAACTTTTAGAACAAACATTGGCAAATATTCCATCAGTAAGCAGGGACCAGATTGATGGAATATATTACCTGATGAAGTTACTAAGTGCAACTCTATACCTCTTTTCAAGAAAAAGATCAAGTCATTTTTGATCAATCAATGATAACAATCTCCAATTAGCTATTCACTTATGCTGTCTACCTAGTAGCTATTGTTATCGTTCTTTCTTTTTCTGCTCATTGTTTTTATTCCATCATCTAATTGGCAAAGCCAACATATATCATCGCCTATCATTTTTCAAAGCACTTAACCTTATTCGAATATACTGCTCAGAGACTGTAACTGGCAACCCAGTTTACTTTCCATATTGTTAAGACCATGCTGACGGGTGGGGGATGGGGGTGGGGAGTGCGAGGCTGGAGATACATAATTTACACAACACTGCTTGTCATGTTCATCTTCTCTGTGTGGATAATATGCCCATTAGGGTGTCATCCGCCTTATCTGTATGTTTCACCAGATGTTTGAAAATAAATAAATGAAATGAAATGAAATCTTAACCCCTACCATAATTCTAGTCATTCGATATGTGTCGGAAGGAAATAAGGCACAAGCCAGATGTTAAAATTGTTACATTTGAAAACCAATTGTTCTTGCACAATACGATTTTTGTATGTTATAACATGTGTGGGCCGTTTTGCCCCAAAGACATGTGAATTTTCAAATAGACGTCATTTTAATTTGCCTAATATTTGAAGCTCGAAATTTTTACAAATAAAGAATAAATGTGCACACTCTATGTAAAATGTTAAATCAAAACGATATTCTATTGTTGCCGGATTTTTTAGAGATTCTCGTGAGAGGGGTAATTTCCAAAAAAGAGGGTGAAAAGTAGAATTACCTCTTACGTAAAGCGAGACGCTGCTTGGTTAAAAATGGACGGTCGAGAAGGTGGCAGATATTTCAAAATTCGATTTTGTGACTTTTGAAGAACCATCTTTTTATAGTTCAAAAGATATTTCGATGGGCCACTTTGGCCCAGAGGGCCGTTTTGCCCCATGTTCCCCTATAAATATATTACGTATTGAAAATAAATTAATCAAATCAAATCTAAGTAGTATAGTCATCTTTGACTTCCAAATTTTTTAGATTTGAGAAACTGAAAAAATGAGGATGAAGCATTTTTTAAATTTTCAAATTTATTCATGGCTCTTTGCGCATGCTCATAATCTATAGTTAATGTCATATTGTCTATATTTATTCACAATAACATTACAAATAGTCAAAATTGACACTCAGCTAGATGATGGTTCATATGAAAAGTGATGTATTTTTAATTTCAATTACAATTACTCAGCTAAGTCAGCTCGGATAATTGAAAAGAGGAATTTTCCTATTTGGTTAATTTTAACTATGTCTGCGGTTACATTGCCTAAAAGTAGACAACGATTTTTTTTGAAATGTGATAAATTATTGAAAACTAGTTTAGGTGTATTGTTTATGTCTTGTTTTATTTTGAACATTTATTTTTACACCAACTACCTACTTCTGTTTTGTATAAATTAAGCCAGGCTGTTGTGAACTAACATATAATTCTGGCTTAGAGTTCAGGCCGTAGCCAGCTTTCGCCAAGGGGGGTTTGCATTTGACAGCTTTTGCCCCAAATCAGAAAAAGTGCTCGGAATGGTGAAAGACTGCAGGATTTAAAAAAAAAATCTACCAGGTTGTCCCGACTCACCCACCCCCTCCGATGACGATGGGCCTCTTCATCCTCTGAGCACTAGGCCTACTATAAACTCCCTCCTCCTTCTGGATCAAGTCTTGGCGCCTTGCGATCACGAGGAGGCTTAGAGTCAAGGTGACCGGAATTTGTGAGAAATATGGATGGTCGTAAAAATTATTTACACGGGGATTGGTTAATTTGTTTTGAAACGCTACCTACTGTACATCTTGTAATTTTTTCTGTCAATGGGTCAGAAAGCTAGGACTACACAAAGGTAGCAGCGAGACCATTGAGGCATGGCAATTTTTATAATTTTTTTGTCAACGAGGCAAGAAATCGTCTGTGAGGCAAATATTGTCGGCGACACATTTCGATCCTTTGATGATATAGTGTACTCGCCACTGGATAAGGCAAACAGTACACTAACATTGAACAGCTAGTCTTTTACGGTATACAGCAAAACTAAACTGCTAGCAACATGTGTTTGTTCATATAACAACATCAGACATGTAAACCCCCTTTTCAAGGGGTGCAGTTTCAAAATATATTTTGCAACTTTTTGTTGACATTTTTAGAAACAATGTAGCAACTTTTTTGAACTTTAGGAAATAATGTAACAATTTTTTGAAACTTTTAGAAATAATGTAGCAACTTTTTGTTGACATTTTTAGAAACAATGTAGCAACTTTTTGTTTACACTTTTAGAAACAATGTAGCAAATATATATATAAAACAAGTTAAATCAACTCACTTATAATGACGCAGTGGAGAATGGCTAAGAACATTTTAACTCTGTGTAGCATAGGTATGAGACCTGGTGGATTAAATCCACTGTCATGTGTTTCTATTTGGAATAGAGTCTGTTCAAAGGCAACGTTTTCAGGGCAGAATTAGTAGTTACACTATTAAAACAATATGTCATGAAGAATCCAGGGGATATCTGATATCAAACATATATTCAGAAGTGAATACATTTCAGAAAGTTTCGACAATTTCATTGACAGGTGAAAAAATACCTAAGCGATGATTATGGAAATTGCGGGTAAAAGGTAGTTTTGACTATCCTGCTGAACAATTATATCTTAATCAAATACAGTCGGATGAGAGGATTAGGGCTTCTCCAATATTCATCCTGAATTAAATCCCTGTATACAGTATACATTACACATTAAGTAAGAAATACCCAGAATATATGTGTTTCGTTTTGTTTTGTTTTATTTGGAATATAAATCAATTTTTACACCAGCTGCAACCTGTTATTGTCTGTATAAATTAGGTCAGCATCTTCGAAAACAATGAAGTTGGAGTAATCGCAACCTTGCGAATCAAGATGTAAGTCATAGTAACTATGAAAATCTCATTTTGCGATAGGTTATCATAAACTATACACTTCTGGCTTAGAGGTCTTTCTCGAACACGGGGAGACAAAAACTCATTCCCCGGATGCTGGACGGAATTTATGAAAAATATGTATGATTGTAAATTTTTTTCTAAATAGAGGATGGGTTATTTTGTTTGGAAACGCCAGCAACATCTTGTTATCCTCTGGAACCTTTAATTTTGATGAGGCATTTTTCTAGATTCGTGGTTTGATTTCACAACTTTATATAAACTGGATAACTTCAATTTAGTTCAATTATCTAAATTATTCCCTGGCCCTATCTTGTAATCTTCGATTGGCCCTGGAATGCAATTTAAAAAAAATCACGTTTCTTGTCTTATATAAAAGTACACGAGACACTGAAATAAACATACTTAGTGCTACTTACTGCGCAATTTAGTTTGATTTTTACGCAGTAATGGTCACTGCACTGTGAACTTAATGTATTATAATGATTATATTATTATTTAATCATATCTATAATAAAAATTATATTAAGACATTTATTATATATTATTCCTTGGTCCCAGATATTAACACACAAGTCACTGTGACACGTAAAGTTTGCCACATAATGACCGATAGAGACTATGGATTTCTTTTTAGATAAATTGTCAGGAAGTAAAAATGTGGAGACCTCTATATATTCTCAATATAAATGATTCGTCTTTACTTAGATGCCATATGGACTGAAAAGATATACAATAAGTAATGTCTCAAAAGCCTCAAAATGTATCTTTCGGGTATTATTCAATTTAACTAAGTCTGCAACAAAACGGTGCAAAAATCTCTGAACGACCTATAATGCCATCTATCTTATATTTATTTCATATTTTTTAAAGTGAACTAAATATTAAGATTGTAACACCATTTTATGTACAGTTTACTATATATTTATTTATTATCGCATTGCATAGTCAGTTATAATTTATGAGGTAATACAACGGCCCTTAACTGTGTGTAGGCTAAGTGATGTTCCAAGTCGAAAGTTAAGGATACACATTGGGCCAGTATATGTTTCAGTCCTACCAACAAGCAGACATATTATAAAAAACAAGCGCTGCCTTGAGTGTTTAAAGAAACATTAACAAGCATCATTGGCGCCGATGCATATCCTCTTTGTAGTAGTCTGACACCACTTAGGGAACTGAGTGGGGCAACTGCCTAGTACCCACATGTTTCCGCCCATAGGATTAGGAACGCAATAGTAGAATGTACTGGTATCAGAAGGATTCGGTGCATATTCCGTTAACGTTGGACAAGCAGTTCCCACTGGAAGAGAAATACAGTATAAAGTGTATGAGAAAAATGGCTTCGTTGGCCATAAGATAAAACCACAATGGGGTTTCCAAAATATTCTAGTGAGATTAAGATTTGCATAAAGTACAAAGGAGATGGGGATATTCCATGAGAGACCATTAACTTATTTACAGTGGAGAAGACCATATTAGCAAAAGCGATAGTTAGATTGAACTAGAGATTGCAAATTTTATTGTAGCATGTTAGAATGATACGTATCATGTCAAATATGTTCCGAGACACTTACCAAGTGACCCTCCAGTTACTGGTGGGACGACTGCCCCACCTCCTCCACCAGTGTTACCACTACTTCCACCTGAAGGACAGATTGCGCCTATGTAGTCACATGTGAGAATGGCCTGGCACCATTGAGTTCCTCCTGCACATAACTTCGGCCGTGCAACATTACCCGCGTCACAATGGTAGAACGCCTGCGGATTTGTAGGATTTGCCAGAAACTCCCCAACAAAGCTACATCCTACGTGAAAAAATAATAAAAGATAAATATGGTAAAGCATCATGATTTTCCTTTGAGATCGTTCATATTTAACAAACAGCTACTGCCATCTTTTTTGATGAATAAGCTAAATAGCAAATACTAACCCTTTTGAGAGACACACGGGGTCGGTGTTGAAACTGTGAATAGAGGCAGGGGTGGATCTGGGAACCAACAGGGGGACCCAAATTCTGGTGTGAGAAATAAACTTCCGCGCTTGCGCTTAAAAAATCTTTGGGCCCCTAAAACCAGAAGGTGGGCCCATTTTCTTCAAAATTTGGACTGAAAGGCCTTAGAAGGCCCATTTATGACTAAAAAGGCCCACTTTTTGGGGCCTTTTCTTGGGCCCAATTTTTTTTCTGAGAGGCGAGGTGTTACATGGAGATGATGCATCTCCCTGGTGCCCCAGTAAGAAGGAAGCTAACAAAAAGCATTGTCGAAAAAATTGCCAAACTGAGCACAATAGGTAAAAACATAGGTCCAGGACTGACCCTAACCATGACATCAGGTGCGGATGTAGAATTGATATTTTTTACACGTGCGCTTTCGACTTGATTGTTAATGGACATCGGGTCATCTTGTAAAGGTATGTTTGATGGTCCGACAATTTGATCTGGAAGACCAGCAGTTGTTGCAGCTTGGTTTGGAAGACCAGCAGTTAGTATAGCCTGATTTAGAAGACCAGCAGTTGATATAGCCTGATTTGGAAGACCAGCAGTAGTTATGGCTTGATTTGGAAGATCAGCGGTTGTTATAGCCTGATTTGAAAGACCAGCAGTCGTTATAGGTTGATTCGGAAGACCAGCAGTTGTTACAGGTTGATTCGGAAGACCAGCAGTCGTTATAGCTTGATTCGGAAGACCAGCAGTCGTTATAGCTTGATTTGGAAGACCAGTAGTTGTTATAGCTTGACTCGGAAGACCAGCAGTCGTTATAGCTTGATTTGGAAGACCAGCAGTCGTTATAACTTGATTTGGAAAACCAGCAGTTGTTATAGCTTGATTCGGAAGACCAGCAGTTGTTATAGCTTGATTCGGAAGACCAGCAGTTGTTACAGGTTGATTCGGAAGACCAGCAGTTGTTATAGCTTGATTTGGAAGACCAGCAGTTGTTATAGCTTGATTTGGAAGACCAGCAGTTGTTACAGGTTGATTTGGAAGACCAGCAGTTGTTATAGCTTGATTTGGAAGACCAGCAGTTGCTATAGCTTAATTCGGAAGACCAGCAGTTGTTACAGGTTGATTTGGAAGACCAGCAGTTGTTATAGCTTGATTCGGAAGACCAGCAGTCGTTATAGCTTGATTCGGAAGACCAGCAGTCGTTATAGCCTGATTTGGAAGACCAGCAGTTGTTATAGGTTGATTTGGAAGACCAGCAGTTGTTATAGCTTGATTTGGAAGACCAGCAGTTGTTATAGCTTGATTTGGAAGATCGGCAGTTGTTATAGGTTGATTTGGAAGACCAGCAGTTGTTATAGCCTGATTTGGAAGACCAGCAGTCGTTATAGCTTGATTCGGAAGACCAGCAGTTGTTACAGGTTGATTCGGAAGACCAGCAGTTGTTATAACTTGATTTGGAAGAACAGCAGTCGTTACTTGATTTGGAAGACCAGCAGTTGTTATAGCTTGATTTGGAAGACCAGCAGTTGTTACAGGTTGATTTGGAAGACCAGCAGTTGTTATAGCTTGATTTGGAAGACCAGCAGTTGTTACAGGTTGATTTGGAAGACCAGCAGTTGTCATAGCTTGATTTGGAAGACCAGCAGTAGATGCACCAACACCATCAGGAATACCAGCGGTTGTTAAAGACGAATCTGGTATACTTAGGTCAACTGCAAGAAAACCAAAGGGGAATTCACTCACAGGCCGAGTGCAGCAAACAACATCGACACATCCCAAGTCGACCTGTGAAGATATCCCTGGCTCTACAGTATTTTCCGTTCCTTTCGGAGTTGACTCATCAGGGGTTATTAATTTAAACTTCCAGAATTTAAGAGTCCATGCTTAACTAACTATGCTGTTATTATATCCATTGTTAAGCCTAGTTGATTAGTGACCCCTGGATGATTATAATTGATTCTAGATTCACTTCGATTGCCTCAATTTTCTCTGTAGTTTCTTCTTCACTCAATCGCTTTTTTAGCAGAATCATAACGGAAAAATTTCAAATGTGTGAAATTCAATAATCAGAAAAAGTTGGGCAAAGCAATCGGAGCAAAAACATGTAATCCGTAATTTTGGCAAATGATGATATAACCTAAGATGTTTAATTATGATTATTAAAAATAATTAAAAAAATATTATAGTTATAATATCAGTATTCTAATTTTTATGTATCTTTGTGTAAATCCTTTGTGTATTCTGGAATAGAACAGAAAACACTTACTTATATTGGTTGTCCCTCCGGTATTGCCAACTGCATTTGTACCCGCGCCAGTGTTACTGCCTGTATTGCTACCTGTGTTGGTGCCTGTGTTTTGAATGTACCACCCATTTACAGATGTAGTGATCATGTAAATGACACCGAAAACTATGTACCGCTCCATCCCTGTCCAATAAATGCTCAAGAAACTGTAATTCTCGACCAAATTGTAATGAATGTTAAGAAGGTGCTTTAATTAGTGTCGATTATGATGATATTGCAATTTATCTATTTTATTGTTTTTTGGAACTTTTTAATCCTTGATGTCCAGGCGTTTGTCCTTCGTGGTCGAACCTCAGTGGAATATTGAAGTACATGGCAAACCCGTTTTGGTCCCACCAGTTTGCTTTGAGCTTGAATACGGTTAGTCATCTAATTACATTAAATGTTATCGTAATAAAGTGCAATAAACAACCAGGAAATGTCCAAATAATTAAAGTGTATGAAAACCGTAGTTTCTTGAAGCACAGGAAAGGGAAGCCAAGAACTTTATCAGTTTGTCTAATATGACATTAATGACTTTTTAATTGATTGATGTTCAATTAATGAATATATTTGTTGATTAAATTTGAAAATTTTACTTATTTATGTATTTGGCAAATTGTCATGTGTTTTGCTTTCGGCGGAGAACGTGACGGGAATGTTTACAATTTACCGTCAGATTCATTTTGTAACGAACAGTCTATGCAAATAGCATATATCACCAACAAGTAACTACGATATCCTTCATTTTAAACCTTTTTATTCTCTCTGGATTAAAGTAGCTTTTAGTCATATCGGCTAATTCCATGATGTCATAGGTTAGAAATGGTTATTCAATTCAATTCAATGCAATTCATTATTCAATTTTAGTTTTCATACAATATTAATTAACAAGTGATATGAAAAGGACACCCCGAGGGGTGTATGGATTCCATGTTTTGAAAAAACTGTTATACATAAAGCATGTTATGTTAGAACAGTTATTGTAGTGTACAAAGCATTTTAATTGTTAGGGTTTGATACAAAACTCACCAACTCAACAACTCAGTAAATGAAAATCCCTAATCGTACTAATATGGCAGATGCGATAGTCCCATATATGCAAAACCTATTTGGTGATCCTCTTATTAAGTTAAGATGAAAAATCACCGAAAGGTTTTTGTAGTATCTTTTGATAGTGCATAATCAGGGATGTCATCACTGCTTGTTTGGTCAATGTGCATGTGGGTTTGAGCAGTTTTAGAGTTAAAAATAAATTGTGTGAAGATCTTGATAAAGCAACTTGCTCCCCCCCCCCCCATTAACCAAATTAGATGATGCCGCCTCGTGATCATTGTGAATATTTAAAAGATTGATTTAGTATATGTTGTAATGTTGCGTACGAAACCATATACGTACACGTAAGCTAGGGCATATCTTGACCCTAGAATAATATTATATCGAAATACATCTTATCACAGAAGATATAAATATAAATGTTACAAACATGTGTTCATTTCGCCACTTTGAGAGTAAGAAATTCGGTTTCGATCAATTTCATTAAGAACTTCATTTCTTTCTCAAAGATGTCGAGAGTGATTGCAATCGCCTTGATGTACCTTGTGTCCATCTCGGATACCAATTCAGGCCAAGCTTCTGCTTGTAACTTAGGACCAAGGTTAAACTGTTATTGTTCATTCGTAGAATCTGTTGGAAAATATTCCGTGGACTGTTCAGGACTGAGGTTCGATGGTGGTCCTATTGGTACTCTAGAGATAGTTAATCCTGGAGGTCGGGATATCTATCGGATAACCTTTCGAGACAGTGGCGTAACTGACATTGTAGAGAATGCCTTCGATAATATGCCGAATTTGTTTTCATTGAACTTGAGAGATAACCAAATCACAGCTTTCCCAGCTAATGCTATGCGAAGATTACAGCTGGTTGAAGAGATAGATCTGTCATATAATTACTTGACGGATATACCGAACGATACAATGGATCATATGACAAGTCTACGGGATTTTGAAGCACAAGGAAATAGACTGACAACCATCGGTTCCAATGCATTTATAGGACAAAGTAGTTCATTGCAAGAGATCGACTTTAAATACAATCAATTAACTGGAATTCCCGATGCTGTGAAAACCCTTTCTGCACTTCGAATTTTAGATATGAGCTACAACACATTCTCCCCTTCGAATCTCCCGAGTGGAATTTTCAACAACATGAATGCATTGACAAGTCTTGACTTACAGACAACGTATATTCTGAATATCGATCCCCAAGCTTTTGTAGGACTTGAATCAAGCGTGGACCGAATTGTAGTCGCCAACAACAACCTGACAACACTCGAGAGGTGTACATTCGAGAAACTGACTGCTCTGACCACATTATGGGTAGATTCCAATCCATTTGTATGTGGGTGTGAACTGGCTTGGTTAGAACGATTTTTTGCCTCGTGGCCTGTGTGGAGACAGGCAAGGTGTCGACCAGTGTCTGGTGGAAGTGAAGTCAACATTACGGACTTTGTCTCCCAAAACTGCGGAGGGTACCAACCACCCGCCTGTCCATAAACAACAAAACTGAATAAGAACTTGATATCAATGACATCATCAATACACCCCACATGTGACAGTTTTTATGGTAAACTGGTTAAAGTCCCCGTCTAAAGTTTGAAAATATTTTTTTATCATTCATTTACTATTTGTCAGGACTTAAAAAGTGGTTTTAGAGATTTCTGAACAAAAAAAAATTTTTGAAAAAAAAGTTGTGAGCATTTCATTTCTCAAATATTCAAATTTTCCGCCATTTTTCAAAATAAGTTGAAATTTCTTAATCATCAAATATTTCTTAATGCATTTCAAAAAAGATTATCTTTTTAACACAAATGCAAAGATTGAACAAAGGACACACTATTTCAATAATAAAATGCCATATTTAATGGGCCACTTCAATGTTTTAGCATATCAAAAATATTTTGAAACATTAGTGATGTCACTAAGGTACCAAAAACTTTTTGAAAAAAATTGAATTTTTTTTTTCGATGTCAATCTTTTCTAAATATGTTAGACTTTCATAAAAAACCAATGTTGATTGTCTAACCAGGTCAAAAGGAAGAATAAATTATGTTTTAGATATCATTGTGCCATTGGTTTCTATGAGAACTGAAATTTTGAAATGCATTTTTCTCAGAACCATTTTCATGCACTGATAAGTTCATTTCTCGCTTATTTATGAACCGATTTTCTTAATTCTTTCGGCAAAAAACATGGGAGGATGAATGCTATACATTGGTATGAATTGTGGCTAATTAGAAGATATGAGTGACCTCTAAAAGTTGGTTTTAAATAAATTCACAAATTTTGGAACAAAAAGTCTATCAAAAACCACTTTTTGAAATTAAAAAAAAAAGTTTCACATATCACACTTTGATAACATTGGGTAAGACTACAATATAAGCCAAAGTGGTTTAAACTTTATATGGGGCCTTTAAGCATTCATGAACTTAGAAAATGTCGATTTTGTTTAAAATTATTTAAAACAATTAGCCTTAAGAGTACCAAAAAGAAAAGTCATTGTTTTGAAGATCAAGGGCCAAGGTTAAAATGAATCATTTTATGTCACCACAACCGTTTTTGTAACGGTGGTTGTCGATCGGCGGTTGGCGTCTGTAACAAATGTTGGTGATATTTTGCATGTTAATGCCTTGTCTTTATTTAAAATGGTAATTTTTGTTGTTTTAACGACTTTGGAAGATGACCATTCGCCTTTTACATGATGACAGCTTACCATAAACGCACTGCATGTACAATTGACTTAAAGAGACCGTTCTTCGATATGCAATCATTTGCCGTGCACACGATTGATAGCAAAGTATCATTCTGATTTATCTCTGTCTCTATTTATCTAAAGCTTGTTAGAAACTCTCTATTCCAAGGGAGAGTAGAGATCGTTGATTCCACTTTGGCGAAGTTTATTATATTTTGAATTTACACGAGGGGTGTAATAAAATATGTTCATTCGTGTGATTCAAATTCTCTGATCTAAAGGGCCGTTTAATTGATATTTGCTTCTTCAAGATATCACCGCGACCTCCTGGTGCTCAGTGTGACATTAGTCGCCTCCGTGAAAAGTTTAAATGTTTTTGTCGCACACCTGAGCCTTTGTTGTAATTTTGATTAATAATGATATAAACATGTAACATATCGCATAATTTGACATGTTTCATGGCGAAATCATTTCATGGCTTTTAGTGTCATATTATACTGCAATATGGCATTTCAATAATAGTTAAATCTGAAATGTGAAAGATGTGGGAAGTTTCCAGTTTTCATATTTAAGTTAGAATATATCTACAACATGTTCACCATCAAAACTGATTTGCAAGAGACGGGTGAGTAGAACTATATAATACTATGATAGATATGTGAATTGAAATAGATATTTCAATCATTCTTAAAGTTAAAATGGTTTTAAATTGTTTTATTATTCAAACGAATATTATTTGTCATGATTTTTTGGTACATTTCATTTTTTAAATTCTATGAATTTACCACTAGTTTAGAATCTTAGATTATCAAATAAACAAGATAGTTTCAGATCACATTTTATTGTAGAGTTGATATCAAATATCAACACGAGTGGGCGAATGAGTGATGATATTTGATGATATTTATTTACGTGGCACTAAAAGTATATCACTAGAAATCAAGTCTTTAAAAATCAATAAAAAATCAATTTGATTATCATACCGATATATGTGGCTGATAAACGATATCAACTTCATATACGACTGAAAAACAATATAGCCTCTATTGAGGTGAATACCCGTGCATCTTTCACAAGTGATATTCCACGAAGCCCGAAGGGCTAGTGGAATATCATCTTGTGAAAGTGTCATCAAGCAGATTTGAGAAGTTGATTTTTTATCAGAGGCAGGGTATGGGGGTTATGATATGGGAGATTTTGGATATGCCCTTATATTCAAAACCGAGCATCACATAATTCATTTATCCTATGACAAGTTAGGTTTCACAGGTGAGGTTTTGAGGACACGCATATCCAGGTTTGTTTTTTAAGTTTTCTCATTATTTTCAAGAAATCCATCAAGATTTTTGTCAAATAGCTTGTACCGTCTGCTGCATCCACTTTGACAGTGCCTTTGGATAATCTCAATATCCCGAACCTCATATAGGATAATCTCTATACATGCACTGTAAAATATATTATTTCCTCCATCCAATATAAGTGAAATGAATACTATTTTAGCGTTAAACTTCAAAAATAAAGGTATGACTGTTGGCCTTTCTTATTTTTAAGAATTGGCATGTTTTAATTATTTTCCATTTTATTCCAACCAACTATTTTTTTCATTTTAAACTCAAAGAAAACGATTCACGTATCACTATATGATAAGATTTGAAAATATTTCAATATTAGTATCAAATTAAAGTGGTATAAACTTTTGGGAGTTTATGCGCTTTATTAATTTAATGCTTGTAGATTGTGTTAACTGCTCGAACAAACTAAAGCATTACAGCACAAATTCAGCAACTACCACTGTTACAACATTACCTGAAACACTTGATCAAAGCAAATCAACCAATATAGAAATGAATGTCAGCGTAGCACCGCAACTCTCTGATGCGACCACAAACTTAACCATTGGAAACGAAACTGAATTAATCAGCAACAATGGAACAGGTTTTGTTACTGGAGCAAGCAAACCAATGCAAATCGTGTATGTAGCAATAGGTGCTATGGGAACGATCGGGAACGTCAACGTGTTAATAGTAATGCTCAGCCTAAAGTATCTTTGTTCAAAGACAACAAACAAATTCATAATCCATCAATCGTTTATCGATTTATTATCCTCTTTAGTGATGATTATAACTTATTTACTTCATGAAATCATCCCTGTTAGCGCAAAAGGAGTAGCTGCGCATTTCGCTTGTAATGCGTATTGCTGCAGTCGTATTTTCTCGTTTGAGCATTGGTGTCGACTTCAACCTATTAACCTTGTTGCCATGACGCTGGAGAAATACATCGCAGTGTTGTACCCACTCAAGCACAAATACTTTTTCACAGAAGGGAAGACAAAAATTATTCTCGGATTGGTTTGGCTCATTGGACCGTCATTTTACTTAGCTCTAGCTGTAACAACAACTTATCGCGATGGAGATTGTGGCGTGTATGCTAAATTTCGCACAGTGCCTGTAATTCAGTACGTTTATAGTTACAGTAATTTCGTGGTCATGTGGTATATTCCACTTATCATCATGGCTGTTTGCTATGGGAGAATGGCTTGGTTTTTGCATAGCAACACAAATCTAAACGTCGGTGCATCGTCGGATCTGCGACGTCTAAAGATGGTCCAGGCTCGACGTAACATCATCAAAACCCTGATTTTAGTTGCGCTTCTTAACATAATGTGTACCTCACCAAAACAGGTGTTTGATTTCCTTTTTCTGTCTGGGGTTCCACTTTCACTAGAAGGCAACTTCTACAACTTTGCCGTCGCAGCAGTTTTTAGCAACTGCGCAGTTAACCCAGTTCTGTATTCGATTCAGTTTCAAGATTTTAAGAAAGGTGTCGTTAATCTGTTCTGTTGTAAACGGCCCGGCATAGAAACAGCATAAAGTGACAAAAAGATTGTGACATCGTCAATTGATCGGAACCTAGAGGAGTACCTGTTCATCATTTTGTGATTTCCATTCATCAAAGATCTTAGTTCACTTTCCACAACTAATTACATCGTTGATTTTATGATGAGATACCTTTATGAGTACCACATCCTGGGAAAGGGAACATCTCGTGACCGACATGGGTGGTTGAGTTCAGTATTCAGAATGGTCAACGCATGTTGTTCGAACATACATATCACCTCATTTAACACTGAGAGTCCATATAACATAAATTGTTTTGGTGACATAAGTTAAAATATAGTAATCAGTAAATTTTGAATGTATTTGTGTCATTCACTTTTCTCTGTAGCCACAACACGCAATAACCAAATTATTACGACAACGTTAATTGTAAATATGATTTGCTTTTGGATTATTGTCCCAGTCAACTAATAGAAATGTAACATTTTTCAAATTTAAAGAATGACAGTCACTTCACATTCTAAGTATTCGGTGTTTTGTATGTAAATTCACATCTCCCATAATGCATAGCTTCCGGCTTTGTGTATCATTCATTATCAACTTTTTGATTGTTTTTGGTGCAGTTGTAAAATTGAATCAAATCAAGATATGAATTCTCAAGAAAAGCACGAACACATGTTAACTCACACATATAATATGGTTCAGCATGCCCTATAGGCTATTGAAATCAACATATGATAAAAACACTACTGTATTTCAACATCTAAAATGAGCATATGATAAGCTTGAACAATTTCTTCCAACAAATAACAATGACGAAAGTGGTTGCATTTGTGCTATTGTACTCTTTATCCATCTTGGACATCAGTTCAGGACAAGTTTCTGGATCGTGTGACTTGGGACCGAGGCTATACTGCTATTGTTCATACGTAGAATCTGTTGGACGATATTCCGTGGACTGTTCAGGACTGAGGTTCAATGGCTTTCCCATTGGGACTCTCGAGATCGTTAATCCAGGAGGTCGTGATGTCTACCGGATTTCGTTTAGGGACAGTGGTGTAACGGACATTTTTGAAAATGCATTTGACGCGATGCCGAATTTATTTTCTTTAGATCTAAGAAACAACCAAATTACGACTTTCCCAGCTAACGCTTTGAAGAGTCTAACGCTTGTTCAAGAAATGGACGTTGCCTATAACAGGCTCACTGAAATACCAAACGGTGCACTTGATCATATGACAAGTCTTAGGGACTTCGATGGACGAGGAAATAGATTAATTACGGTGGGTGAAACAGCTTTTGCTGGACAAAGCACTTCGTTGCAAGAAATAGATCTGGCCTATAACCAGCTACCCGGAATTCCCGATGCTTTGAAATCCCTCTCTGCACTTCAAATCCTTGATTTGAGTTATAACACATTTTCCCCTTCCAGCCTCCCGAGTGGTATTTTCAACAACATGAATGCATTGACAAGTCTCAATTTGCAGAGGACTCTTATCCTGAATATAGATCCGCAAGCTTATGTAGGACTTGAATCAAGCGTGGACCGAATTGTAGTCGCCAACAACAACCTGACCACACTCGAGAGGTGTACATTCGAGAAACTCACTGCCCTGACCACATTATGGGTAGATTCCAATCCATTTGTATGTGGGTGTGAACTGGCTTGGTTAGAACGATTTTTTGCCTCGTGGCCTGTGTGGAGACAGGCAAGGTGTCGACCAGTGTCTGGTGGAAGTGAAGTCAACATTACGGACTTCGTTTTTCAAAATTGTAGTGGCTATCAACCACCTGCTTGTCCATAATTAGCCCCTTGGATGGCGTCGAAAACGTGAAATCGTTAAAAGATAATGGCTTTAGAATTATTTTAAAATTATGTTAAGTAATTGTATAATTTGAAGCAGTGAGATTATAGTGTAGTTAATTGTATATTTTGAGGCACTGTTCACGTTGCATGCATTTTCGTAGCAACAAGTTGTACACGTCCAACTTGAAAGGGATTTGTCACATGGTGAGGATATCCTGGTTTCATTCTGTTGAAGCTCACACGACCTCTCCTTTGAGCATGTTTTTGTGATCGACAGCTTTTCACTAACTTCTGGAAAAGAAAACAGCACCACATATACTCTATCTACAAATTGCAACCACGGAATCAACAAAAACTACATAAAGTAAAAGAAAATTGATCTTGGGAATTTGTCCTTGAGTAGTTAAATTTTTGTAAAGTTAAGAATACCTATTTCTAAATTCATTGTTGTGATCATCAAAATGACTTCATCGTTAGAGAACAATTGAGTTTATGACTTCTTAACTTTAACACACTTCTATTATTAAATGGTTCCCTGTTAAGTTATTATAGCATCGATTGGGTGAATATAAAGATGTCACGCTCGTCTTAAAACCTGAATGACATCTATCAAACTAATAAGCACATGACATGTAAATGACGTGCCTTCATCCTATGGTTAAGATTTACATTTTCAAAATAGTGGGAATCATTTTGGACAAAAATGATTGACCTTAATAACCAACTTTTTCTGATATACCTGAATAACTGAATATACTCTGACTACGTTCTATAGACTGGAATACCTGAAAAAACTCTCGTATTACACACCTGAAAACTAACTCTTGTCTTACGTACCTGAATAACTGACTTTTGTCTGACATAGCCAAATAACTGAATATAGTCTGACTACTTTCTATAGACTGGAATACCTGAAAAACTCTCGTATAACATACCTGAAAACTACCTCTTGTATTACATACCTAAATAACTGACTTTTGTCTGACATAGCCAAATAACGGAATATAGTCTGACTACTTTCTATGGACTGGAATACCTGAAAACTCTTGTATTACATACCTGAAAAACTGACTATTGTCTGACAAGTGTTATAGCCATCGGCACAGTTCATCAACTTAGCGTCACTCATACATAGGAAGTTGGAGGTCTCATCTTCACAATTATAGCACTTGATTCCGGACGACTCTGAAATATATTTACATACAACAATTTACATTTTTCTTGGCTCTGCAATGGCATCATTAAGTAGAGGTTAAAATATTATGAACCTAAAACAAACGCTGTAAGAATGTTCTAAATGTGTTGTTTTCAAATGCAGGTTTTAGGCTAAATGCCCACTAAATTTTCACTCGGGCGATAACCAATGTTATTGTATACCCAAAATGCATTCTAGATGCTCATTGGCGTATTCATGGTCACGTGCTATGAAATAGATTAACTTATTCCCTGTTAACAAGGAATATGAAAAGTACTAATCAGCAGTTAAGTCATGTGACCAGTCATTAGTACGATATTCCCTTAAGGAATATTCTGCACTATCTCCCTGTATTGCAGTCACTGCACTATTTCTATACTGCTGTTTGGTGGACAATTTGTTTTTTGGACGTAGGCATATGAAAAGCGGCTTGTAAATATACCAAAGTTAATTTTCCGTTCGTTATTCCGAAATATGAACTCAATTTCTGCGATTAGCTTTTGCCAATAAAAGCTCCTTATTTGTCAATCAGTTACAATAATGGGTTTCTAAAACACATGTTATTCTATATTTTAAATCCCACTTGGGTAGCAACACAATAGAATTTGCTGTGGTTTATTTTTAAGAATGTATGGTTTTATCAAAAGGAAAGTGCATTATTTTTCTATTGTTTTTAAAGAATGTACACTTGGCAAGCTATCAAAAACAAGTGAGACATAAATGACCATTGACAGTTTTTGATAGTTTTCAATTCCTAAAAACAATATACAAAAATACATGTACCCTTCTCTTGTTACTGTGCATTCTTTAGAATAAAACAATTTATTTTATTTTTTGTTGCTATCTACATCATTGATCTTGTCTTACTTACAAATATTCTGCTGTATTCAAATTCAATGTTCTGGACTGGACAGTCACCTGTAGTGCACTGAAGCTAGACTAATTATAGCCCACTCAGTCACTTACATCAACTCACACTCATGAGGTCAATGCAACCAACTCTTTTTGTTGTTACAATTAATTGGCTATATAACAACAAATTTTAACCAATAAGAGCCAGGGTCATTGTGAGCAAAAGTTTGCAAAATTCACAGTTTGAATAGTCAATACAAAAGAAATCACATTTTCCGGATTAAAGACCTTTTAACTGTAATATAATAGACCCTTTGCCTGTGATAAGAGTCTGTGTGATTTAAGTAAGATAAAGCATTCGAATTCGATTTGATAAGAAATAATAACCTCAGGCCTTCGGCCTTCGGTGTATTATTTCTTATAAAATCTCATTCTTATGCTTTATCCAGTACAGAACCTATCTAATATTTATGGCTATTCTACATAGCATTGTATAGTGTTTCACTAACGAGACTTTAATTATAAAACAGTGGTTAGCGTAAAGTCTCTAGTGTATATGGCTAACACGTTAACACTATACGATCGATTCCATAAACACAATTTTATTGTTTAAAGGCATTTTCACAGACATGGAACTTTGAAAAATCGATTTGATACAGAATTTATGTCTAGCAATTTTAATAGACATTTTGAGAAATTGTTTTCCCAAGAGTAATAAGATAAAACAGATTTACTTTTTTATGTGATATATAATGATGTGTCGATCAAGTAGTGCTTTATTGTTTGGCATTGCAGATTTGCTTGAATTATCGGGGTTTGCTCTATAAATCAAGGATTTGAGCATCCTATTGTCTTTGTCGTTTGTATGATCATAATCACGAGCTTGTGACTAGTGAAATGCAAATAACACCTAACAAGACTAGTTAGTGCAAAGTTAGTGCAATCCTAGTGCTGACCTTTAGAAGAATTGAGTGACCAGCCAGATAAAATATAGAAAGTACTAAATGCATTTGGGTAATTGGAAAAGTGGACTACGCTTTCAAAATCTCATGGCAGATAACATTAGAAATCACCCTGAAGTAAATAAGAACTGTTGGACATCGTAGAAATTATACAAACTTATGACACGGACTCTCATAATAACGAAGCCATACGTTATATCATATTGTAATGAATATAGACAACAAAATTCTCAGAGGGTTATTTTTGACATTCTCTATCAACTACGATAAATGAATATTTAATAGATTGATCTAAAGTCAGATTTCAGTTGGGAATAGTCCTTTCCATCTCTAACCATAAAATTGGATTACGAATTCAACATTCACACGAAATGTTCCCAATTAGGAATAGAATAGAAGTATAGTAAATCGTTGTCGTAGACCAGTAATTGCGGCAATGTGGTGCCACAATCAAGCAATACATACGATGCCACAGTGAGGCAATGTAAAGCAACAATAAAGCAATGTACAAAGCAACAATAAAGCAATGTGATGCCACAATCAAACAATGTAAAGCAACAATGAAGCAATGTGGTGCCACAATAAAGCTATGTATTACCACAACAAAGCAATGTTTTGCTGCAGCACAAATGTTGAGTTATTCACTGTTCTATCCAGCATATCTACAGGGGTATTTTGCATTTCTAATGCATTTTTCTTTATTTTAAGGAAACAAGGTTGTATCTAAAGTTTAGTTATCCAAAACATGGAGCATGGACTCAGAACATCACCCTTTAATCAGGCATATCTGTTGATGCCATGTAACTTCTGCAAGATTAGGGATGGGTGATATTCATGGTACCCACAAAAACGTTTGACCTTCCTCTAAAACATGTGAGAATATTAGACCGCTATGCGGGTAATAATTGAGATAGCCTGTTGCAAGAGCTCACCTTTTAGGACCACCTGTATAATATATGAGTACCACGCACAGAGCCAAGTGTTGTAAATGACATGAATGAAGCTATCTCAAGACGAGAAATCACACTATTGGATCGGGTACACAGACTTCTTTGAAAATAAATATCACAGCTAAATCACAATTCCGGCCTTGGTTATTTGAAATTGCAATTTTTCCGATGTTTCCATTATGTCTCAAGGGAGTTCCGGATGTTCACATTCTGCCAAATTACTCGAAGAATTGATGGCTAATTTGCTGTTGGAGCTGAATTTAGTGGATTTTCAGCTGCAAATTGTCATTGATTGGTGTGAAAAGGATTCGATTTAAGAGAACATTTGCTACTGAAGTCGCTGTACATCTGTTTAGTTGACATAATCGCCGCGTAAATCTAATCAAATAGAAGACCAATCCCAATCATTTCTCGAGTTTCTCAAATTAACTGCCGTCATAAATGGCCTATTGAGAAGTCGGAGTGAGTTATTTTATGAAATTTTCTAGTAATATGTTGGAGCTTTAGAATTAGAAAGGAAATTGCAAGAGTTTCATCTTCTGTTTGGTCTTTCTCCGCAGAAATATCAAGTTACAGATTTCTGACATTGGGGAGTTTAAGCTTACAATGTTTTTCACAACCTAAACCTGAACGGAAAATATTCAAGCGATGCATTTGTGTGGGCGATTGGTCATACGTATAGGTCGGCGTTTCGATTCTATATGCAAGCTTAAACTCCCCGATGTTTCTGTTTTTCGTTACATCATTGTTTGGGATGATTGGGTTTTGTTGCACCAGACGGGTTGTACTATTCAATGTTTCTTCTTTGCGTGGGTTTAAATAATTTTTTGGTCCTTTACTCTTTCGTGTCTTTAAGCATTCCTGCTGCATATTCTTCCATTCTTCTTAGTTACGTTGTTGCTCAGTTGTTGGTTCCCCCTTCAAACAATTATCCTTGTAATGTTTTGAAATAAGGATACTGTCCAGGGACAGTATAGCCTGTTGATCCAACAATTAGGTTTTGGTCCCAAATACCCAATAAGCGTATTGATCTGGGGGATGGGGGTAGTAACAGAAACGTAATCAAGTTAGGAATAGTCAAATCAGTTGTACTTTCTATGGATATAATGAAATCATTATTATATACATGTACTATAATAGTTCTATGTAAGTTCATCTCTCTGGTTAATATATCAGAAACAAGTCAAATTCTTTACTTCAGAGAATATTTTTAATTTATTGAGACTTTCATCTAATATCCCTTAGTCTTTTTCAAAAAGAAAAAAAAAATTTTGAAAAAGACTAAGGGATATTAGTCGAAAGTCTCAATAAATTAAAAATATTCTCTGAAGTAAGGAATTTGACTGGTTTCTGATGTACTATAATACTATAATATAATACTATACAATTTTTTTTTGAAAAATGTTGTCTGCCGTACCTTTTGCTAATTTGTCTTGATAGCTGG